GGGAAGGTTTATGGCGCAGATAAGCGTGGCCACGCAGATCTTTCGCCACTCGCGTTTCGAATCGTGACTTTACGCTATCTCGTAAAATCCTGCGAGGTGCTGCCCCGCCGGCATCGGGCATTCCACCCCTCCGGGACCACCCCCGTGCAGATAGTTCTCGTCGGTTCGGTTCGAAGTTCTCTTTTCTTTTTTTCTTCCATGGGAAACTCGGGGAAACTGGGTCGGCATATTAATACCTGGGCAACGGAATGAAAAATTCATCGCCGCTACGCTCCCAGACGCGATATATTTGACTTTTGACGCAGCGTACTTTGATGTCAACCGAAATGGAACGCGATTGATTTCCCCGGGACCGGCGCTTCGGCTGGCGTACTTTAAAATTAATGATCGCTGGCGAAACTTTTGCGTACCGACCACCACACCCCGGGTGAAATATGACGATCGCGGGACGGAAGAACTCCCCCGTCTCCGATTCGTTGTATAATGCCGTGCGCGACGCGATTGGTTTCTCGTATGCATCCCGGTGTACCCGGGGGTGATTGCGATTCGTGTTTGGAAGCGAGGAAACTTTTTCGAGGAAAGTTGGCAAAACGTAAGCCGGCGTTGATCGAAAGAGAAAACTGAAATGAGTATTACAAATTTGCTTCGGGCGAATCAATTTGCCGAGGTTATTTAAAAATTGTGTAAACTGTGTATGTACATAGGACGGCTGGTTCGAAATCGTGTAAGAAATATAGAATTGCGAGAGATAATCGTGCGAGAGCAGTTCGGGGGAAGAAATTGCCTTATCCGGGGAATATAAAATGCGGCGCACATCGAACCAGCCGGCGGGGTCGCATGTGTGCATGTAAATGGAAACGATGTCGGAAAAGTTGTTGAGTCGGTGGGTGGCTGAAAGGGGCTGCTCGGACGACGACGCGCGCCCCCTGTCCCCCTTCTTCGCGCTCAGGGGATGATGTATGGGACTGGTACGTGAGGATTCACGCGAGAGATCGTCGGTATTCCGTCTATCTCATATATTATGAGTTTTATGTTCGCCCGTCGGAGCGTTTATTTGTTCCTTCTGCGAGGAACCCGACTTTCTTTTTCTTCGGAACTTCACAATTATCGCGAATTCCAGTATCACGTCCCTCGCGAGGAGATAAGCCGGGAGTGTGTACCGACTCCGGGAATAAATAATAACAGTATACGCGAAGAGATTTCGATCATCACGCGATGTAATTAATTCCGGTCGGGCCGACACGTGAGACGTCAAGCCGGCTCGCGTAATTCCTGGAAACTCCTTGGTTCAAGTGGAAAACTCGGGTCTCCTTAATTTCTTTTTTTTTTGGTAATCGACTGTATAACCGGAGACTGGATGATCGAGAAATGAACCGGAAAGAGGCAATATCTCAGAAGATGTGTGGTTGAGGTTTCAGGTTGATAAGAAAAGTCACTCACTATCAAATACCGTCTGTACATAGTTGCGTCCATTAATTTACTAAAGGAAACGTGTCATCGAGTCTATGCTCTTTAGAATCATTTACTGTCAATGATAGTTTAGAAATATCTGAGCTCGTTGAAAAGAATGTATGTCGCGCTTCATTTCGGTATGTTTTAATTAAAGAAATTAGAAGGCAGATCCTATTTACACGGCAGCCACGATTCTTATTTAAATGAGCGATAACTCAGTGTTTTTTTCAACCTTTTCTTCTGGTTACCGCAATCAGCGGCGTTACTTTTTATTCGTTCTTCGTTAGGATAGGAATCGCGCGCAAGGGAACGCGAGACGGTCGGAATGAAAAGCGACGAGGACGCGATAAGAGCGCACGGGGCGAAAGAAGGTGACACGTGCATCGCACTATTTGACAGGTAGTTGCGACGACGACGACGGCGGAAGGAAGGAAAAAGTGTTTGGACAAAGAGGAGGACCGGGTCTCGAGCATAGCGCCTTCCAGGCATACTCGTGGCGGGCAAAGAGAGTCGAGATTTATCTTCAACTCGTAAGTTAGAGGCTCCGTGACCTCGATGCATGCACTTTTCTCCGCGGTATAATCGCCTGGCCTCCTGCATATTCATACGGATTCAAGCTCCCCCCCCCCTCCCGATGAATATTAAATATTATTCAATGATTCGTCGCATCTCGCGGCATTTTAAATCCGCTCATTTCGGAATCAAGGGAAAATAATTATCGCCGGTGTAACCGTCGTCGCCGTCGCTTCGTCGAATCTGGAGCACCGGAACTTACTAATGACGCTCCTTAAGATGAAAAAGAAATCGATTACTTAACACACCTGTCCTTTCTCCAAATCGGATTCGTGGATGTTGAGAAATAGGGTGGAAATCTCACTCGGATTTTTCCAACCCTTAATCTCGGTTTCACCCCTAGCGGAATCAGTCAGTGTCAATGACTCCGTGCGAGGGAAGCGTCCCCGATGTAAATAGCTGATACCAGTGAAAGAGTACAGGAACCTGCTGGTCCTTAGTTCGCTTTTGGGTAAACATTGGTAGGCCGTCCGATAACATCTGAACCCATCGAGGCTACGCTTTCTTTTGAGACCCTTATGGAAGCTCTAGATAGAGGGCGATAACAAAGGATCGCCTTTAGACCGAAGTCCTGACCCCTTTGATTAAAATCTGGAGCTGTTAAGCTTAATTAAAAAGTATACTCCTGCTGATTTTCTCGAAGTTCGCGGGAACTAGGCTGTGCTATCAAAGATCCGTAAACTATTCAAACCAATGTTTCACATAGTCATTGTTACAATAATTGATAAACTTATAAGACAGTGTTCATTGAATGTATTCTATGAAACCCAAATTCATTTTCCAAGAGATTATAATTTCCTATTGATTTACCCAGTCGAAGTAGTTTGACGACGCGGATAGGGCACGCGATATTAATGAGAAGCGAGAATTGAAATCGTGTTCTGTTCCGCGATAAAAACAATAAGGCCGTCTCATTATAACGCCTTAGGAACGCGGAACGCATTACAGGCCGCGCGCGTGTTTGCAACCGGGAGCGTGCATTTCATTCACACGCGCATCCCTCGCCTGGTCGCTGGCCTCGCCTTTCTCATTCCTAATTCGAGTCCGTCCTTAATCCAGAACGGTGGACGTGATCATAGTTCGCGGATCCCGTGGAGCGGAACCAGTCGTGAAAGGCTTATCGCCGGCTCGAATACGCTCTCTCCGGTTGCTCGCGTTATGAGCTGAAATGAGGAACGGTTGCATAAAACAGTTTTACGTTGGAATGCCGGTCTGGTACATGCAGGCAATAGCGAAGAGGAGAAAGAAGAAAAGGAGATGGAGCGTGATGGGGCGGGAGCGGGTGGTTAGACGCGGCGTGGAGAGTTAAAGTGTGCCAAGGAGGAAGGAAATAAAGGCAAGAAGCTTTAGGGAGAAATAGATTAAAGCGAAGAAAGGGGAAACCCCGACGCGGGAGGTGAGACCATGTGCCGTGGAACGGAGACGGTTCGCGGACCGGTGAGCGGTAGCATGAAAAAGATAAGGAGAGGAGAAACTTGAAAACTCCCGGGTCTCAACAGCAATTAAAGTAAAATTATACAAAAGTGCATCCAGAGTGGCGCGTCTCGCGCGTCAGGCAGCCGAGAAACAACTGCAAGAGACTTACTCCTCTCTCCAAAGCCTCTCCGGTTGTTGCGTTCGTCCCCTCGGCCACCCGTCAGCGACCCTTCTCTCGCCGTACACCTCTCCTCCTTTTTTCTTTTACCTTTCTTCCTTTTTTCTCGCCCCGTACGTGTAGGAGAGCACGCTCCACGGGAAAGAGAGTCTCGGCAACGAGATCTCTCATATTTAATGACCCAGTTGGACTGCCTCCGGCGACAAGCTGAACGCGCTGAATTTTAACACCGACAACGCTGTCGTCGTCGTCGCTCAGCGAAAAAAGGACACCGTATCCTGCTCCGTGCCAGTGTAACTAACTGCCGACTTTGAACTTGATTCCCTGCAAGCTCCTTCGGGGAGCGGAACCGAGGGATCGCTCGGAAACTAATCTGGGCCACACGGTTTTCTGCGTTTATTCACACCGCGAGGCCATAAATATTTAAACACCGATCGGCCATTAAACATTCTGTCGTTTACCTGTTTCTTTGGACGCGATCCTTCGTAGGCATGAAACGCGTTCAAAGTTGCATTGTTTCCCCTCTTGTTTATCCGAAACAAGTTTAATATTAAAAAGCTTTTTGGAACAGCGAACGTTGGACCGTTTAAACGAATGAAATCTTAACGTCAGGAATTCAAGTCGTCACACAGTTTCCAATGAATTTTATTCCGCGTGCTCACAGCAATAAAAATTCTACTAGCGCAAGCGTAATCAATTTTCAGCTTATGGATAGCGCACGTTAAATCTCTCGAAATTGGCAAAGATTTTAGCAGCGGTCGAAAATGAAAAACGAAGCCCGGCACGCATCGTCGCGCGTCGCTTCGCTGGCTTTTTACCCGTCGATTCTCGCGGATTTTTATCATCTCCGGCGCTGATTACGCGGAACGCGGAACTGCCGTTGCACTCCGTTTTTTCTGCCCGTGAGATACCGAAGGGGATTTTAATCTTCAATTTGTTAATCGTTGACCCATCCGGGTTCTGTTTTAATAAAAGCCTACTTCCGGCGAAATCGTAATCCTTCAGAGAATAATAATATCGAAGTGATGTAATCATAAATTCGTCGGATTTCACGGATTATTTCTCGCCGCACGATAAATCCATCGACGTGTTTGATAAATATGTCGGAGGAATTATGAAGCGCTTTCGTCGCTGGCAAATTTATTAATCCAGCAAGGAGTATCGCACGTTTAATATCGGCCGGATTTCCGACATTTGATAACAAGTAACCGATACAAACAACGAAATCCTTCCCTGCCGTTTATGACGCCATTAAATACGCCGACGGAACAGTTTCCAAAGCTGTCAGATATCTTGGATTAATGGGAGGCTTTACTAGCCACCAAGTGAAATAAACTTACAATAATCGTTTACTCTCTCTCTCTCTCTCTCTCTCTCATATTTTATTTCATTTTTTATGTTACATACTGCAAGTCTAGTGAGCATTACTTTCTGCGAATCTAGTGAATATATGCTTTTAATACTACATTCATGTAACAGAGCGTGTCGCCGATACGTCGTGGCAATGAATTCGCTGTATTTGTAGAGCAATTATCGTCGCAACGAAGGGCGCAGTTAATCAGTCGGATTTGCAGTCTGGCTGTGCCGCGGCAGCCGCAGATTTCATCCGTTGCCGGGCACAATCCCTATAACAAATAAGGAACATTATTTATTTGGACACTCGAGATGTCAGCGGTAAAGTTGAGGCTCGTTTGGTGTCCTCTCGCAGGCTTTCGCTTCGGGTTGGAACGCGAAATAAGGGGGTGGAAACGTCCCGCCCGGACGATATATCTTTCCCCGGTATATCCTTCGCGAGGCACACCGAGTCCCGCGAAGGGGACACCGATGCTGCTCACGTCTCGGGGGTAAATTTTGCTGGAGAAAAAAAAAAATGTCACCGTTTAATTTAGCCCCAGGTACGAGTCGAGCGCCGATCGCCCCGAACTCACGTACCGCGAATTTGTATGAAATTTATATTCTGAAATTCTGCGCGGGTATTATGTAAAGCGTAATTAATTTTGTAACGCGGAACTGTGTACGCGCACGTGTCTTTTTGATCGATTTCGCGATGGGTAATACGCGGGAACGTTGCAACCAGTGGCTTTGTACAGAGTACCCTGCGGATAGAAAGAGTTTGCGAAACGATGATTAATTTATCGCGAACGCACAGCGTTACATTTGCGCGCGGCTCGAGGGCACGAAGCGGCTGTAGAAACGGAAATATAGGGGAGGACAGGTGAACCGGAGACGCGTGTTCTCCCTGGCCTGAATTATTTATTAAAGTTTCCGCGCGTTATCGCCGCCATTTTTCCCAACAAACAGATCTGAATTTAATCATTCTTCCGCGGGGATAAAACTTCGCGTTTAAACTTCCAGAGGATAGCACGGTTTGCATTGTACCGCCGCCTCTCTCGCGGATATTTCTCATCGCAGTACCACTCAATTTTCCTGCTACGGAGAAAATAAAAATATCTTTCTCCGCTGTTTCGAATCCGCAGAACGAGCTACTCTTCAGACAAACGTTTATTCAATCACTCCTCAACGTGTCGGCCAAAGAAATTCTGATTGATTGTAATAAATTTGTCTTTTGCTGCAAGAGAATGTCTGACATTCTTTACTTTCATCGCTGTTTGTTTCACCGATAAAACATCCAATGCAAAATGTATAATGTACAGTCACAGAAAGAATTAAAAAGTTTCTTTGACAGTTTCTTAACAAAACTTGGCTGGGAATTGTATCGCTTTTTAGATGTTTTTGGTTGATAATTATCTGAGATAGGGAACTCGTCGGTGCAACAGCTAGGCAAATCGGAGAATTCAGCAAAACTCGCAGTCTGAGTTATTATCTCTCGTCGAGCAAGTAAACCGGCGACTGGCGAGGCGGACAAAACAGATTAAATTACCTCGTTAAGTTGGCGACTTTTTTTTCACCGCTTACGCATTCGCACGCTCGTTAACCCTCATCCCCTCCGCGCCTCCATTCTTTTCCGGCCGTGTTGCATTTTCTACGTGTAACAACGCGTGCGGATAAACCGTGGGAAGGTTAACTTTTCTTTCTTAGAAATTTTTTTCACGCGGTACTTCAACTTCCTAATTTGCGTGTCAGAAGACGAACAAGTCCTCTGAGGTATAACTCGTTGCAGTTAAGAAAGAGATCTCCAATCATCAGTTTAATCATTTTCTATCTTCTACGATTGCTATCGGAACTTTTATACGTAAAAAAACTTGAGACCCCGGCAGGACGTTTCTTTCGCGTTACGATTTTTGCTTGGACGACTTGACGGATTCGCCGACGAATATCTCCGCGTCCGAAGCAGGCAGACGGGAAGGCAAAACGCGCGCGAGTTCGCGGCACATCTCCCGTGAAAGTGCTCTCCTTTATCATCCGACTGTCTTGGCGGAAGGCAAACGAGGCGATGAAAAGAGTATCGCGAGCTGTTCCGATGAAAAATCGTCGCTTCATGTGCGCAGAGATACTTACCCGTCTATCCAGTCGGAATCGTCGCGGCTCTGCGATAAGATGATCGATTTAATAAACACGGACGCTCGTTACGCTCGTTAAAACTCGTCGATCCGTACCGTGTTTCTTTATTTTTATCTCCTCGTTCGTCTATGCGCGCCGCGTTCTCATTTACGCGGAAGATATCCTCGATATCCGCGCCGCTCTCGTTCCTTCTCGCTGCAGGGAATATTAATTTTTACAGTTCTTCTGGCGAGTGCACTCGAGACTGCAATATCTACCTTGAAAGGACTTGAACTTCTGCTTTATCCTTGTTACCGTTTGAGTGTCCGATTCGTTTCGAATATCAGTTTGTTGTAACCGTAACGGTATGGGGACGATATGAAAATTTACGAGAGGTACAACTCGTTTAAGTGCGACAACGAACCCGAATAAAAATTCCTTATAAACATGTCCTCGTGAATGGTATACAAGTAAATAGTAGTGTTAACCAAAAAGAATTTCTATCCAATATCAATTCTTTACCCTCGTAAAATGTTCGCCGGGTGAAAATCCGATACTCCTTCCCTTTCCATTAAAAATAATTCCGCTCCATGTGCTCGAACTCGATAACTCATCGTGGCCGCGTTATCACGGCTGGCAGCTTTCCTCCTCCGTCCTTCTTTTCACCCACGAAATTCCGTTCGAAAGTTACTCACGATTATCCATCAGCCGTGTAATTTACGACACGCGCGAGCAACACGCGTAGTGGCGCGAGACACTGGTACGATTCGGCGGTTACAGGTGGAAGGGACAGGAACGAAACGGAACAAGGACCGAGAGGAGACTAGACAACTCATTACCGGGACTGGCAAACAGAAAACTAGGTTACGCAAGCTCATACGTCATCGGAATTAGAACCGTAGTCCGCTGTATCTCAAATGTACACTATCGCGCGAAACATGTTCCACGCCTGGTACCCCTCGCCGCCACCCCCCGGTCCCGCCGCGGCATATGTATGAATTTATGTAACGCGCGCGAGCTCTAGATTGCCAGGGAAATACGCTGCGGATATGTGCTCCAACTCGCGCCGGAAGATAATGCAAGTCGCTCGGCCGCAATCGATACCGCGCGGAAATTTCCTGCGTTGTCCATACCGACCCTCCCGGTTTCAGGATGCGCCCGGGGGCGACGACGATTGTTCGCGCAGCTGGACCTCGGAGCTTTCTTGCAAGACCGTACGAACGTTCGGTTCCACTAGTTTAACACAGATTCACCCTTCGGGCAATTACGCAGGACCCATGGGTATATCGATTGCGTTTATGGCCCCTACGTCCCCGAGCTAATCGCGATATCATTCATTTTATTAAACATCAGGGAAAATTTTCAAGACTCGGTTGACCATATACTTTACCCGTTCCACTGTTTGCCGAAAAGATTTCGATTCGACGAATAAATTTCACGGCGGTACAGTCGTCGTCGTCGTACCGTAAGCCCGGCGGAGCTTTACTCGCATCAGGATTCTTCGTTGGCCAGGCTGCGATATTAGAGTATGTTCTTCGTCGGCGCGCGCAAACACACGATACCTGAGTAAATAAGCGAAACAGCGACGCAGATGTATGCAGATACGAACTTTACGTGTCCTAGGGCAGCCAGGAAGCACCGCCGATGTCGCTCGTGCGCAGTTTAAACTTCCTAATGGAACGCTGACGCAGCATTTGATTTTCCGAACGAGCTCTCAAATTTGAAAATAAGAGATATCGTTGTTTCTATTAACCCGAGAAACTCTGTAATATCCTCGTATTATTCTCACTTCGCTCACGCTCTTAGTTCGGGCAACGAGCGTTCTTTCGCACCGTGAGTCTGTTTCGGTGCACTTGGAAAAGTTTCTACGGGTAGAACAGAATCGAGACAACGGCGCTGGGAGCTAATTCAGCAGCTCGTTCCTCTTCGCTGGAAATTGAAAATCAATGGATCGGTCGTTAGCTATGCTTTATACACGTCCAGAATTTTCTTCGCGTCAGCCGGTGCGAACTTTCTTCCCGCCTCATGAAAGTATGCTTTAACGTCGCTTCCACGTCCGCTGGGAACGCTCGTGAAACGAGTTTCAGTTTAAACCTCCAATTCCCCGGACATAAATCGTCATTCAATATGGAAAATTAAATTGTAACGAAAATGAACAGTCACGATTTCAATACAGGAAACAGCTTATCAATCGACTGCTCTTTATACAAAATAAATCATTTGTAATGTAAATGTAGAAAACTAAATATAAACAGGTATTACATTTGTATTTTAAAAATTGTAACATCTATTTCACTTCCGACATTCGGACGAACGTTGAATGAATTTTTATATTTTCTATACATATCATTTTTCTATAAATATATAAAATCTGCAGTCTGCTCATCAGTTTCTAAATAAAGATGACATTTCTTTAAAATTGTAAAATATCATAAATTATTATGTTAAATTAGACCGACAGTAATATTTGAAGTGCGTATTCTTGGAATAGCGTCCAGGATTTTTGTTTCAATATTCACGAAGTTTACAATTAGATTAGAAGCTCGTCGTTGCTCGACGTCAGAGGTAGAATAGAAGATCGTCGCGTTATTTTCGCGCAACTTATTTAAACCCGGGGACGAGTTAATTGCTACGAATTGCAGGTTCTTTGGGGTGGCTTACGACGACGAACGGGGTCGCGTAAATGGACACGTAGTAGGGTCACCCGGTCGATTAATCTTGTGCTCGGTGTTCATTAGGTGGACAATTTAAATTCTTTACAGCGGTTACAGCGATAATGAACAATTGGGTCGCGTCGTACAGTGTACGTATATCTAGCAGCTGACAACGCTGACAGAGCTATATATCACCCGGCAATTTTTCAAAATTTATGATACCTACCTCGATTCTCGATTTACGAGGTCGAAATAAGGGAACGGTTGAACAAATCCCGGTGACTTTAATTCGGGTACCACTGATTTAGCAAGCGACATTTTCAAAAACGCAACTTTCATTTCGCGGATAATTGCTTGCGCCGCGGAACCGGTCCCATTCGCTCGGATTTATTTCGGTCAAAAGGAAACAGACGATGTTCGCAAAAGGAAAAACGCAAACATACCCGGGTCGGTGCACGCGATAATATTCGTGAAAAAACGGCGCGACAGCTCGGTGTCGCAATATTTCCGGCGGGGGGATCGGCGCGTTGCTCGTTACGGGGCTCGAGCCCCGGGTTTCAAAAGCGACCCACCGCCCGACGTTCGACGACGCCATTGTTAAATCACCGCGGCGGCAGGGCGCGCGGCACGACACGACGTCCAAATATTTGGTCCATCTTGCGTCACGCAACGAGTGCCGCGTACAACGCAACGACCCGTGTAACCAGTACATGGGTGCCGTCAGCCAGCGTCAAAATCCGGGAAGGCCAATGAAACGAAACGCAAGTGCGATTGTTGTAGCTGCCAGCGGTATTAATATTGACGTGACTTGCCCCCGTTTTCCGGTTAACGCGGATCGTAAAGCCACCGGCCGGCCCTACCATAAATCACACCTGCCACCGTCACCGGACTCCAAAGGACTGGTTATTGCCTCTGTTACAGTTTCTTTATCGGTTCCCGAACCCTGTCGCGTTCGGTTTCGCGGCTACCGCTGATATTTCCACTTGCGCCTCGCTTTGCACCGACACCGACGGTCACACGTGGACATCTTATTAAATCGAATTACGATTGCATTCAAATTTAATAGCTATACTCTCGGAAATGAAAAAACCAAACGTGTAACATCCCTCCTCCTCGCGTTGTTGAAAAATGGGTTTGCATCCGTCGAATGCATAGTTACAACCAGAGCAATGTATCAATAATGATTGAGTCGTGCGAATAATTGAAACGGGTGCCGCTTAACCATCCGGAATGTGCTCAACAGTTCTGGCATGTAAGTACTCTCGACGTTTGAAACGGTTTAATTGACGTTGATCGAACTGAGCCAGAGACAGATTTAAATCGTTCGAAACGTGCCTCCACACATCTTTAGTACGCTTATTTAATTCATTTTCAAATGAAATGATTGATGTTTCCTGGGAATCAGATCGTAGAGGGTAAGATGTGAAAATCCGGAGACGGAACAAGAGAAGCAGATCCCGGTGGAAAATCCCCTGGGAATTTCCCATCCCAAGTTAGCCTGAATTAACTATGACGCTTTAATCCGCGCCGTATTCGCGGGTGTCGTCGATTTTTTCCGTCCCGGACGAATTTCGACGCCAGCTGGCGCGACAGAATCGGCGGACCGCGGGGAACGTCGGAAGTTTTCCGCCGTGAGCCAACCTAACGCCGTCTAATTAAGACTAAATACATAATTAGAGTGTTAGTCACGTGCGGCCGCGGTGTAATTGAACGGTCAGCCCCCGACGACGCGGCGACGCCTCGAACACGTACCGTTGCAGTCAGCACGTTTAGATTTTAAGTTTCGGCGATCACGTCGTCGACCGGATGTGTGTCCTCTATTTGCACGAGCCTCGGTGCGTCGGACTTTAATTTCGCAAATTTTCGTCGACGGCGAGGGCGCCAGATCGAGATCGCTTAATCAAAAGAATTTTACGGCTCCGTCCGAATCAATTATCCTCGGTCAATATCAATTTTTCCGTCCGTCGAGGTTTTTATAATTCTCACGATAATTCATTGAGATTACTCGCGTTTCTCCGGTTTGAATTAAAATCAAAATTAGTTTGTACACCGGATTTAGAAGAAATCTTATTTGGAATCGGGCGATCTCATTAAATTAATTGATTCCACGTCCCGCGAAATACTTGAATTTAATTACGAATTAATACGTTTAACTCCTCTAACGTTTAAACTCTTTTATATACAAAATCGTTGAACGGACGGTGTTTCAGTTTGACGAACTATTTATGCATCGAGCTTCTTGCGAAAATCACAGCTGAGAATCCGGTGGATAACGAGGGCACGATGCACACGGCTGGCTCGATAGATATCGTAAAGTTGCAACAATCGGCGCGAGGCGGTATTAACCCGTCGTAAAGCCGACAGGAAATCGGAAAACAATGTGCTCCGATCGTTGTCGACGACGTGATACGACGACCGAAGAGTTTTCCTCTGCGCCGCGTCTATTCCAAGTGTAAACGAGCGTGCCTTCTGTTTCGAGTGACATTACATCGTCCGTTGGGTAACCGATTGAGTCGGATCAGTTACACAAGGGATGCAGCGCGCGGACAGTATGGAGTTCGCTCGGGCTGCAACCAGCGTTTACCTTTACAACCGGAACCGTGGCATCAGTTTATGCGTTCCATCGAGATGAGACAGCTGGCGTCTAATTCGCGTTGTACGAAATTCCACGGATGCTTGCCCGATTAAGCATCGAGTTCTTTGATTAAGTCCCAACGAGCTGTACGAGAATAATTTGACAATGTTGTTAGCTGGGACAAGGGTCTCAATTATATGTACGCGGGATTGGGAGAATTTATGCTACCCTGTAGAATTTTGATTACATAGAAGGTATTTGGGATTAGATAAAGAAACGTAGGATCTGTTCGTGACATTATATCCGATTACTATGTGAAATCTATCTTACCGCAGAGCAAACTGCCACTTAGATATAATAACAGTCCTCTTGTAACAGTTCCTGTCGGTACTTAATACTAATTCGCGTAATCATACTTAATTAACCGAAATCGACTCAGCCGGGACAGATATTCCTTGATAATCCTTCGTCCAAATAGTATAGAACCTGCAGTTCGAAGGAAACGGGCAGACTATCAAAATTCGACGCTGGTAATTGAATTATTATTTCTATTAACTAGATTTAAACTTTGAATAGTCTTTGACTCTTAAACTTACTCAATATATCATTAAAAATTGATTACATGCAGTGCTGATCATTTTCAATTTTATTAAGCCCTAAAAGTTAAACATGCAGATT